CTCCCCGCCATGGCCATCCGCCCGCACACGTCGCCGACAGCTTCTGCTTCCGGCCCCGAGGGCTGCCGGGAAGGCGCAAGGGCTGCCGGGAGGCGCGGTCTCATGGGAGTTGTGGTTTTTCCCCACGCCTGGGCTCCTTGGCCCGGGCTGGGCCTGGGCGTGAAGGCGGCTTTTGTCTTTCCAGCATGGGGTAGGGGGACACGTTAATGCACAGCAAGGCGGTGGGTGGGCTGCAGTCGCCGTGGAGGTCCAGGAGGCGGTTACGCCCCCTCAGGTCAGCACCAGGTCCTTGGTTTGAGACTCAAACATCTCAAGATACTTGGCCATGTCTGATTTTGGGCCCACGTCCAGTTCAAGGGAGGTGAGGCCCTGGCCCAGGTTGCCTTGGGAAGCTGTGAGTCCCCCCTCCCTGCAAGGGTCCAAGACCAGGTTGGACGGGGCTTTGAGCACCTGGGCTGGTGGAGGTGTCCCTGCCTGTGGCAGGGATTGGACTGGGGGAGCTTTTAAGGTCACTTCCAACCCAAACCACTCTGTGATTCTATGATTCAAGCAAGACATCCATGAGTGATAGCAAGCTCAGAAGAGAGACAAAGATGGACAGGAGGGGGGCTGGAGTGCCACCCGGTGTGGTGAGGCTGGGGGGCCCAGGAATTGTTGAGCCTGGAGAAAAGGCGGACACATCTGTACCAGGCATCAGGAAGAGAGAGCCAGGCTTTTCACAGTGGTGCAGGATGAGGAGTGATGGGAATACATTGAAACAAGAGGGGTTCAAAGTGTGCTTGTGAGAAATTTCTTCCCCTTGAGAGCTGTCAAGCTGTGGGACAGGTTGCCCACAGTGGTCGCAGAGTCTCCATCCTCGGACGTTCTCTCCCTTGATTGGGTCAAGCCCTGAGCAACCTGATTCACCCTGTGAGCAGAGGGTTGGAAAGGAGACCCCTGGAGGTCCCTTCCCACTTGAATTACTCTGTGGCACTCCAGTGAGGTTCCTTTTTTCCATGCCTTCTACTTATGGGACAAGAGGTTACACCAGATACGGAGTACAGATGGTGTTGCTTTCCTCGGTGAAAAGCAGGCTCTTAGGGGCACTGTCCCTCTTTCTTTGCTAGTTTTTAACAGGTTAAAGAAGCCATCTGTCCAATATACTTGATCTATATCTGTATATTCTAGATCTCTACTTGATCTGTCTACATACTATAAATGTGAGGGACTGGATTTCATTGCTTCCCATCACACTCTAGATTTCTCTCTTCCCAGGTGGTCATCGGTTAGGCCAGCGGACTTCTCACAACACATACCACATGCATCCAAAAATCATCACCACAAGCACAATGTTCATTCCCTCAAAGCCAGGAGCTCTTAACGTTTTTCTGCCCTCAGCAGCTCTTCCATGCCCACCTTGCCAACAGGTTGGGACCTGCTGGATTATCCCCCGCTCCTCTGGAGCGGAGAACCTCAGCAGACCTTTTTGTCTTGCCTTTTTAGTTTTGCTTAGGCTGCCCAGCTGTGTGTTTGTTTTCACGTCAGCAGCATTACTAAAACACGTTTCTAAATAAATTCAAGATTTTTTTTCCAAGAAGGAAGTCTAAGCCTGGACTCTCCCCATCAATACATTTCTGTGTTTTAAGGGCACTGCCTGGTGGAAATGACTCTGCTGGTCAGGTTCAGCCAGCTGAGACATGAGATGGAAGGATTTCTGTTTGTTTCTTTCACAATTCTTACAACCACTGTATTTTTTTGGTGTGGTGTGGTTTGGTTTCCTTCTCCACCCTTCAGCTTCCCTCACATAAACACTCTCCCTCTTCCTGTGTCCCAACCATACTGAGCATCTGTCATCTGCTGGGGAGATAATGGGATAACTTGGGTGAAGTAAAAGCACAGATCGTACATCTGTTAATTGGGATCTAGGGCATATTTAATCCATTTTGCTTCAGCAAATGTTGCAACAGATTGCTCTGATGGGCAGCAAAAGCTTTAAACACACTTGCCAAATCTTGCACTGTCCTACAGCAAGAGGGTCTGAGTAAGGAATGAGCTTCAGGAACATTTTGAAAAATCTCAGGACACACCTTTAGATTTGAGATTTTATTTCTTGCTGTAGTGGCAGCAGAGAATGGTGAAGTCTCAAACAGCCACATTCAGAGTGGTGAGGAAGAGCAGAGAAAGCAGTGAAGGCAGAGGGCCCTCCAAGGATCGGTGTTTGGTGCTGAGGGCACACGAGGAGTCATGGCTTGAAGTTTCCTCCCCCTTCAGCAAGGGTTCTTTCCCATCTAGCTACTTGTCCTCAAGGAAGGTGCACACCTGGAGGAGATCTGGAAAGAGAGAGGACGTGGAGAAGTTCAGATCCTGCCTTTAAACGCTCCCGTCCCACCAGCACACACCCAGCCATGCCAACAGCTTCATTGCACAGAAAATATAATCAGCGTGCCACAGAAAAAAATCTGTGTTGACCATGAATTGCACTGAACAGACACTGGGGGGACAGGGTGAGTTCTTTTTACTGTTGCTCAGAGTGCGTATTTTCTAAAGGTGAGCAAAAATCTCTGATTCCCGTTGATGCCAGAGCAGCAGACTGCAAGTCTGTTTTCAGTTCCTCCAAGGAACTTTGAGAAAAGTATACTGGCATCTCCATGAGTTTATCCTCATCTTGCTTTAAAGAATGAAAGGGACAGCTACAGAAGAAGCTGTCCATGCCTGCAAGGCTGAGAATGGACTTCTTCCTGGGGCTGCTACGGTTACCTGATGGATTGCAGGTGTTGAGGCTAGAAACTGAAGCAGTGTATTGATCTCCAAGGAACTCCTTGTGTGTTATTCCATCACGGAGTTTGACCAGACACTTGGTCGTGTCTTTAAACAGAAGGTCCTTGGTTTGTGACTCAAACATCTTGAACCTGTCTTTCATGACTCCTTCTTGTCCGAACAGTTTCTGAAATAAAGGTGCTAAGAGGTAAGTGTCTGTAAAAAAGCAGAAAGCTGGCAAGATTCAGCTCACACAAGCCTAGCTCTTAGTCTTACTTCTTCACCATCTTCCTGGGGAGCCCTCAGTGAAGCTCCAGAAATTTAGGATCCTTTTTTTTTTTCACTTTAACATGTCACTACATGGAAAGCCCATTGGCAGATGCTGCCAGCAGGTCCTGTGCCTTAGCCATGAGTTGAAAGCAAAAGGAGCTGACTTCCCAAATGCCTCTCAGCAAACCCTTGTGGAGCAATTATTAATGTTTTTAGCATAAAATCAATCAGAGGAGGTTTAATATGGTTACATTTGCACCAGTAACTGTAAGACACTGTGTGTGTGCAAGGAGGCTGCTCTCTTTCCAGGACTGTGCCTGTCCCAACTGGCTTTGAGACCAGGCACCTCGGAGGGACCTTCTGAAACCCACCTGCAAGAGCACACATAGCCTGAGGAGGAGGTGACAATCTCACGTCACACAAGTCTAGCATAGCAACAGCAACCACTACGACCTGGCTGTTACCTGAAGGGGTATTTGCTGAGATGGCAGAGGAGAAAGAGCAGTTCAGAAGGGATGGAGGAAGTGGGAGGCTGAGGGACAAGGCTGTCACCTCGTGTCGGTAACTTAAAACCTTCCGTGTTGCACTGACTGGGTGAAACTCCCAGCATCACTGCTCTAAAAATTCAAATATGTCGTCTAAAAACAACCCCCGAACATTTGTTCCGCTGTCAGTACTGCTAACCTGTTGTTTCTCCAGCAATTCATGGACTTGCTTTGCTTTCTCAGGACGTGTGACTACAGCATGGGTAGGAACCTTGGCCAGGTGGCACGTCCTGTAATCCATTATATTTGCCCGTCGCCCATCAGTGCACAGCAACTCAAATTGGTCCATTTTCAGATTTTTGGCCCATTCTTCCTTATTTTTGCCTTTAAAGAGAATAGGTTTGGAGATTCAGTGATCTTGTGTAGCAGAAGAATGTCTGCTTCACAACATCTAAGCAAAGCATTTTTCCCTTGGCTTGTCCAAAGGAGGCTGCAAGTAAAACTCAGGGAAAATCAAGCGGGAAATTCAGACTCTCCAAGCAGGCTTGGAGATTTAGTTACATCTCCTTCCTTGCATTTCTTTCCCAAATGCTTGGAAAAGTTCAGGCACTGCTTTCAAAAATGTGAAGTTTTAATTTTCAGGCAAGCAGAGTGCTTGCACAAAGGTGTCAGGGCAGGAGGCTGCAATTAAGGGGATAATTGAACTGAATAATTGTGCAGCTGGAATTAAATGATAGTTACTGGGGAAGTGGCTCTGTGGAAATGCCTGGGCAGACAGCACATGCTGATGGTTTAATTCTGCTCCTCCTTGGAAAGGGGCAAGATTGGCAGGGCGAGTGGGTAAAGCTTGCTATTACCTTCTGCACTGGGGCCAAAAATAATGCAGATTGTATTTTTATTTAACACAGCTAGGGGAAGGCAGCCCTGTCAAGCTCCGTGCAACAGAATAACCACGTACCATCAGTGTTTTCCTCGACGATTGAATGCTTAATAAAGGCCACATCCCCCTCCTCAACCAGACACCTGGAAAGTACAAAGAAAGGCAAGTGATGCAGGTGCTTGGATCCTGGCCCTTTCCTGCACATCTGATTCTGACCTATGTCTTATATTGTAAAATCAGTCCCTTAGGACAGCCAGGTCCAGAGGCCCTGCCAGAAATATTTTAAGCACATGTGAAATAGTGTCTTTCAACACATTCTGGAAAAAAACATGCATCCTTCTCGCATGATAAATAGCCAATTTATTCTTTTTATTGTCAGAAAGCAGCAGTTTGGCCAGGTTCAGTATTCACCTTACTTTCTGCAATGCCTGCCTGCACGTGTTAATAGCTTTGTAAAACCACTTGCATCAAAAGGACTGCAAACCAAGAAGCGGGGTCTCTGTTAATAGATGTAAATGAAAGAAGATTCACTCCTCATTTGTGTTAAGAGCATGACAGTGTAGCACTGCTGCCATCATAGAAGGTCTGGCCAAAACCCTTGTGCCTCTCCAGGTTTTGCTGGAGACACCAGGATATTAATTTTACAAGACAGGAACATTTTGCATCAATTTGCAGGAAGCTGCTTAAAGAAAAAAAGGTGTAGCATATGTATAATATTACAGACATATAATATATACCTTCGGCAGCATAATGGAGAAAAAGAGAAGGTTAGCAAATTTTCATCAGCATGAGGCTGTACTCCATATGTGGTCTACCTACTCTGGCTAACCCCAGGGAAGTTGAGAGCAGCCCTGAGGGTTTCCAGCACCTACCGTAAAGCTCCAGTGTACCCATAGTATTTCTCATGGCTGCTGGCGACACACTTCTCCGGCGGGACCCGTCCCGAGCCCTTGCAGAGCCTGCAGAGGCGGGAGTCAGGAGGAGACCCGGGAGCACAGCCCTCGCTGAAGTATTCATCTGAAGGCAGGAATAGAAAGAAAACAATAAAATAAATCACTTTTTCTGCACTGCAAAACTGGAGTTTCCTTTTAATAATACAGTCTCGTGTTGAATTTGTACTGGCGGTCACTGGGAGCTGGAAACAGGCTGTGAGAAGGAGCATGCTGCAGCGGACAGCAAGTTGCATACATCCAGTTTTCACCATCAGACTTGTTTCTTATCATTGGTAGCGAAGCGGGGCCTCAGACTCCGTTGTGCCAGGCACTCTTTTGGTACAAAAAGAATGATGGTTCTGCTGCAAGCCATCTCCAGCTCACACCAAGCCAGCCCATGCCTCCTCAGCCTTTACAGGTCAGCAGAGCTGCATTTGGAGCTCCAGGGGAAGCAGGGACAGTGGGAAAGGCAGGCAGGAGGGTGGGAGTGGCCGATTAAAAAACTTACTAATATATTCTTGTGATTAGAGATCTGCTTTTAATAACTACATGGTTAATTTTCCTTGGTTGATAAAATTTCCAAATAGTTTTTGTTGGACCATATTGTTACTCTCAGCCCTTCCCCTCCCTGCTGAGAGTTATAAACCCATCCTTTACTCTCACTCCACAAGCACCAGGCCTGGGGCAGCCTGTAGTCCTTTCTCAGGACTATCTTTTGGGCTGCTGCAAAGGGAAGAGGAGAGATGTGAAAAGAAAGCAAAGCCCACCCAAAGCAGCTGATGTGTCGTATCTTACTCCGAAGCAGTCACCAACAGCCTAAAACTTTGCTCAGTGAAACTTTAAAAAACAGAGTCTTCTCCATTTCCAACCCCCAGGTAGGAATCTTTGAGGCATAAGAAACTTGGAAGATCAGATGAAAGACGGGAAAATGTTTTTGCAAGCAGATTCCCAGCTCGAAGAAACGGCTGCAAACCTCAATTTACCAAAATTGCAGTTCCCTGTCTTGTTGTGAATCAAGCCCATGGGGATGTTCCAGCCAGCGGTTCTCCCGACAGCGGTGTGGCACGACTTCTTGCCCCGTAGATTGTCCCAGGTGATATCGCCGTTGGATTTTTTCACAACAGCCACGGCAAAGTAGGATGCTTTCAGAAGATAAAAGAGAGGAGGCTTAAGGGCTGACCCAAGGACCCCACCATGCTCCCTTAGGAAAGCAGCGGTTCCACGTGGGAGAGGGCATCGGTGAACAGCATAACAGAAATATTTTGCACTTAAAAATGATTTGCCACACAGCAACAACAGAAAAATTTGCAGATGTGATGCATCTACTCCAACCAAATTATAATCCCTGACATTTCCCCTCCACCCCCAGAATACTGACACTTGGGTATGCAAGAAGGCTATAGCAAGACATACACAATGATTTCTTATCCCCTCCTGATTTCTTATCCCCTCTTTAGCAAAGGACAAAACCCTTCCCTCCTCTCCCTCTTCCCATTTCTATAAAGAACAATTTCTTAATACTACAACCCAGACCTTCTTTCCCCGTTCTTTCCCCTGGCACCATTATGGTGTGACAGTGCTCCAGACAGCAGCAACACAGCAGAAATCTCTGCTGCTACTGAGTGCTTTGCCTTGATATTTGCTTGCAGACCCAGACTTCTGATCTGAGTACTAAATTTGCCTCCCAGATTTTTAATATCTACATTGGACACCATGGTTCTTTGTGTGGAAACTGGCCATTTATTCTCCACTCAAGACTGCATATATATTTTTCTACTTCTATCCATCAGGACGGTTTTCTGTCTCTCTGTTGGCAGTAATTACCTCGTTCTCCTTCTGCTTTGCTGCATTGGCTGTTAGCTGAGGGAGAGAAAAAGAAGAACATATTAGATAAAAGAGGTGGAAAATCCAAAAAAGGGTCAAGGTCACTAATTTCTGGAGAAACTTCATCCTAAATGTGACTGTTTCAAGTAACACCTTGTGCATAGAGAGAACAGAGCAGTTTCCATCTGCTCCTCTGTGCTAAAACAACTTGTTTTACCAAGACTGGTGCTAAAGGATGGGGATATCATGATTTAAATGAAGAAGACAGGAGCTGGAGGTCATTGTGTCCCTGACTGCTGATGCCTGGTCTCTCAGGGCTGTTCCACCTTTGTGGAAAGGCGAAGTGTGCAGTGGTGAGCAGAGCTGCCTCAGAGCACCATGTGTTTTCTGCAGGGTGCAGCACTGAGGCCACTTTCTCGATTGCAAAATAAAACCAGCACTTTTGCACCAGCCCATTTCCCACCACCTGTACCCACCGGGGCAGCCTGGGCTGCACTTACCGTCATAGTTTTCTCCCATCACTGGCACCAAGCCGCACACACCAGCAGTGTAGACAAAACCTCCGTCTAAGCTGATAGCGTCTGCTTCGCCTTTCTGCAATGAGAGTGGCACAGCGATGAAATGATGCTGTATGACACCAGAGCAGTGCTTTGCAGACATCAGATTGTAAAAGCAGCACTCGATGGAAGGGAGAAGTGCTTGGGGCTAAGGGGACCTGAGATGCCATCCCTGAACACACGGACAGAGGAAGTCTCACTGACACAAACAGAGGGAGTTATCAAACTATCGCTCCTGTGCGCTTGTAACCTCCTCCCCCAGACACTTGCAGGCTCAGGTGCGCAACTCTCCTACCCTGCCTCCCTGCCAAACAGATTTCCTTATCTCACTTCTCCTTTCAAATCTGGATTAATCTTTCAATCATTTTGTGTTGTCTTCACGGTGCTGACCCATCCTCATATATGCTATGGAACCATTTCTCTTCTAAACAGGCAACTGTTTTTCTCTGCGCTTTGCAAAACCTTTCTCTGTGATGAGGTTGGTTTCTCCCCACAGTATTTCTCACAAAGCTCCTGATACTCTATTTTAAAATCTACCCCCTGCCCTAAGCAGCCCATCCATTCCCAAGCTGAAAGAAGCAACACTACTCTCCAAAAGGTTCACAGGGAGAAGAAAAGGCAAAAAAAAGCCATACCATGATCTTAGTAATGCACTCGTCAGTGGTGTCTGCCACGGTGCACTCCACCTCCCCTGCGCTCATCACACTCCAGATGTCACACTTGCTCTTTTCATTCTTGCCCACAGCACACCACCGGGTCTTGTTTGCTCTGCGGTTGGAGTTCAACTGATCTGCAAAACCAGCAGAAGTTAAAAAAAGGAAATAAAAAGGTAAGCCCTGCTGAACAGTAAGCCTGCAGACAGGCTGCTTTCTGAGTATGTGGGACTCAGCCACGAAACCATCTGTACCCACCAACCTGCTGCTGCAGGTTCTTGGTTAAAAAGCAGGCACAAATGAAAGGGATGGTTCTTAAGCTGGAGGATGCTCAAAACTTGGCTTACAAGTCAGAAAAGAAACTTCCTGTGTGGCACAAGCTGTTCATGCAGATTTTTGCTGGCTGCAATATCACAACCACTAAACCACCATGCACTAATAGTGCTCGCTGTTGCTGCCTATAAGCATTTCTTCAGACCTCACAGCCCAGATTGAGCTGGAAAATTACAACCTAGTTATGTTTCAGTGAAGTGGCGTTTGAATAATCTATTCTGATGCTACATGAAGTTCATGCACACCCTTGCACAAATGCCATAGTGGCTGAGCCTACCACAGAGATCTCTTAGCTGCTACACATTTTAAGTGGGTTTTGGGGGCCATTTGTGGGCTGTTTGACTCTCAGAAAGCCAGCTAGGGCATCAGTAAATGCTTAATGAGTCCAGATGGAAATAAAGGACACTGTTTCTCTCAAGTGGCCAATACTGGATCTGGTGTCCTGGGATGTTCCTTCCTCTTACATCCCAGAAATGGCTTTTCTAAGCAGTGGTTTTGAGCATGCCCAATCCCTACCACCAGCTGAATAACTGTGGGCAACTTTTATTGGTGAAGGGACAAGGAGTGAAATAAGTGTAAATTTTCCACCTTTGTCGGTGTGGTGCTGATGTCATTTTCACAAATATAAGTTGATATACATGAAGTCTGTGAAGACTGTGTGGTTTTAAATGATACTGCCTTTTCCAGGAAATATTTTGCAGAGAGTACTGCCTGTGTTTGAAAAAACTGTGTTCCTTTTTCCCAGATGTATTTGCTGATTCCATCTCTTCCATGCAGCTCACACTGACACAACATTAGTGTTTCATGTCCTGCCTACCTTTCTGAAGGCTCTGGATGGCGTTGTAATACTCAAAGCTCAAGTAGAGCTGGGAATCCATCAGTGGTGGAATACGCTTCAGCTGGACAGCAGAGTCTTTGAAAAGCAAGTCTTTGAGGCTTGGGTCCTTCTTGCCAGGTGGTCCAAAGAGCTGGAAGGTGCTACTTGTGCCCACACCAAATTTTTCCTGCCATGAGGGAAAAATAATCAGCAAATGACCACATGAAAGCTCTTGGAAAGCTGGAGAGAAAAAAGCCAGAGGCCAGAAGAGGAAGAGAAGGAGAGCTTGATGATACCTGTGCTTTTGCAAGAAAGTTCCAGATGTCATCAACCTTGCTATCATCTCGAGCCACAACAGCGTGAGCAGGCACCCTGGCCCAGTGACAGGCTTTGTAGTTGTCCACAGGCTGGCGGCTGCCATCCAGACACAGAAGCTCGTAGTCATCCTTCTCCTCCCGGGCATTTTCTAGAGGAAGGGAGGAACCATGAGTTGCATTACCACAAAAATAGTCCAAAAAAGCCAGGCAGGGGCAGCTTTGTAATTAATTTATTTCTGATGAAGCTCAGGGGAGAATTCTTAGCCAAAGACAGGTTGCATGCACTACCTTTGTGCCAGCGTCAAAGGAGAACACACATGCCTGTAAAAGAGAGATTATCTCTGCCTCTGTCATTACCAACTCAACAGTAAGATGATTTATCTAGCAGTAGTGCCTAGACACATACAGATGGATACAAATACAAATAGATTTACAGACACTGCACAAATGGATTGAGCAGGTCAGGAGCCACACATGGTCTGCGAAGGCCAGTAGGTAGCCAATGGCAAGGCTGGAAACAGAGCACAGGTCTGAGATCATAGGGTAACAGGAGAATTCAGGTGAGAAGGGACCTCTGAAGATCCCTGGTTCAAGCCCCTGCTCAAAGCAGGGCCAGACCAGGTTACTCTAAGTGGATCTTGAAAACCTTCAAGGATGGAGAGTACACAGCTGTCCTGGGCAACCTGTCCCACTGCTTGACTGTCCTCAAGGGGAAAAAATTTCCACTTGGATCTCATCCAAACCTTTCTGGTTTTAGTTTATGTTTATTGTCTCTCATCTTTCCAGTGTCCACCTCCGTAAAGCTCTTGGCTTCACGTTCTTGCTAGCCTCCTTGTAGGGACCGGCAGGCTGCTCTGAGGTCCCCTCAAAGCCATCTCTTCCCCAGGCTGTTCAAGCCCACCCTGCTGAGCATCTCCTCACAGGACAAGTGTCCCTGACCCATGACCATCTTGGTGGCCCTTCGCTGAGCTTACTGCAGGTCCTGGGTATACCACGCTATCTTCCATCTCTGAGAAGTTCAGAGCTAGTGAACTCTTGCTGGGGGCTGAATTCCCTCCAAAATCCCTCCCAGAGGGCTGGGTAAGCATAATTGCCCACACAATTGCTCACCCTGCATTTGCTGTCACAACAGCTGGATTTGAGATACAGCACCAACAATAACACCACTGAACTTAAAGCAAGTAGGTTTTCCTTCTTCAAAGAAAGAAAAAATATACTGAAACATAACCGTATTTCTCAATAACAAGGCTGAGTCAGTCCACAGTGTGCAAAACATGTTTCTAGAGATGAAAGGAGAAGAGATTTAGGGCAAACCTGGAGAGGAATGAAAGCCTGCATAGGTAGACTAATTGCAGGATGGAGTGGCAGCAAGAAGTTGGACTAGAAAAGAGAGAACCAAGTGATCTTGCAGACCTACCTTCAACAGTTGTGTGCTTCACAAAAGCCACATCTCCTTTTCCGTCTTTCAGACATCTACAGGTGGGAGAAACAGAAGAGATCTTAGGAAAACAGACATTGTGGCTCCCTGTCTCCTGTTTCAGTGAACTACTTTGGCACTAACTGCAACCATAGAGCACTGGTCTTTCCCAAAAAGAGCTATGCTGGCAAGGAAGAAAATGTAATGGCAGACAAGTAATGCACAAGTAGCCCAGGTAGACTGAGCACAATCCTAATGCTGTGTATTCTTAAATCTATGCAAAACCATACAACCTGGATGCCTCTCTCATATCCTGCTAGCTGCCTGCTAGTTATTACTAATTGGATCTTTCGTTACCAGCACTCCCAGTTGTTCTATAAATTCAGGCTCTTCAGGACCCCTGATTACAACACAGCCCTCCCTGGTATAATGAAAACTTGCGTGTGGCAGGGCTAGAATATTTCCCCAAAGGAAAAATAACTTTCACTCACTGAAAAGCTCCAGAATATCCAGAATAAGGTCCTGAGCGGGAGCATTTGTTTTTGGAGTCCCCCTTGCATTGACGGCACAGTTTTTGTTCAGTGGTAGCACCAGGCACGCAGCTGGCAGAGAAAAAATTGGCCACCGCTATGGATGACAAAGAAGCAGTAGTTAGTCTAAAATTCACTTTTACAAGAACCTATAAGGGAGAGGATGGACAGAGAATGTCTGTGACTCGACTGCTCTGCAGGCCACCTCTGGACCTCCCCAGAAGGTTGGGCACAATTGCTTTCAGCAAACCACCACCCCTGGCTTAGCACCAGCCTGTTTATCTTGCCATTTCCCACCGCACCTTCCTCAAGGTTGGATGAGTCTATGCCATCCCACTTGATGTCTTCTCGGTGGAGGAGTGTCCCAATTGGGATGTTCCAGCCAGCAGACCTGCCCAGGCCCGTGTGGCAGGAAGTCTTGCCCTGCAACTCATTTATTGTGAAGCCTGTTCCTTTCTTCACAACGGCCACAGCGTAGTAGCTGGTTGTGGAACCTGCAGTGCAGGAAAAAGCAGGAAAGCAATGAAAAAGCAGGACTTATGAACATTCAAATCTTGCCAAACCCCCAATTTTTGAGAATAAAGCACTGCACTTCCAAATAATTAGCAACTTTGCTTGAACACTCATGATCTTCCGACTTTCGTAGTGGTGAGCTACACTGCCACTATCAAACCAATGCTGTGCATTACAACCCTTAATGGTAAGTGACCTGAAAATGCTATTACATGCAAAATGCTTTGCCCCGGACAGACATTAGACGTGCCCATAGTTTTGTAAGGATGCTTTAACAAGTCTTTTTGGCAAATCTTCTTTGGCAAGTCTTTTCTCAAATGCTGTTCCCCACTGAAGGATACATGTAAGCCTTGCAAGACTGAAATCCCACATTTAGTCTTTAAAATTAAACCTAGTCCATCCCATGCTATGTGTTAATAAAGTGATGTAGTTTTAGGGGTGGTGTATGCTGTGCTATCTAGCTCCGCATTTTACCTGCATAATTCAAAGTCACTGAAAGCAGATCTCTGGGAGCAGTACAATTTTTATGCCATGTTTCAGGATCACAATTTCTCCTCACGGTGCTCTCCTTCCGTGGCCACTGCATTGTCATGAGATCAGTGACTTTCACTGCAGCTAATGTCATAAATGGGGCACTGGCTCTGTGCCTTCCTTCCATTGCAGTGACTCCATGGCCATGGGTGATGATTCTCATTTTGGGTGTAACTGCACCCCAGCACTTTCCCTCTGGGATTGGGAAGCCAGGGACAATACACCCAACAGAAATCATGTGGGAGCTCTGTGCAGAAAGGAAGGTGTCCTGGTTTACTGGGACACAATTTTAGAGTTGACTTTCTATTGAGGAAAACTGTAATTTTGTAAGAACTACAACACACTATTTCATGGGAACAAAGTGATAAAAATTTGTCATAGGTTTCAGCTAATGCTGGCATGTGATGCTCAAGGTCTTCAGTGGTCTTGAGATAAACAGGTACAGAGGCTGGAGGAAGTAGAAACCCAGGGGAGTTGACCCCAAGCTGACCCCAGGCTGACCAATTAGTACTGTCCCATACCATGAACTTCACATTCATTATACATTGGGAAGCTTGCTAGGGACGGCCCTTCTTCCTCTCTCTCCTTCTTCTTCCCATGGCTGACATTTTGGGAGGGATTTGTATACCCTCCTACCCCTGAAGCCTATTTTCCCCACAATATTGGCTGATTATAACTCTGTGTACATTATATTAATACTGTTATTAATATTAGATTTTATTATTATTTTATTAAATCTATTTGATTTTCAAGCCACAGATCTGCTTTCCTTTTCCCAACCCGCCTCCCTGACTGGGGAGGAGTCATTGAGTGATAGAGCTGTCAGAGTGGTTCCAAAGAATGCTTATCAATATGGTGATAGGAGCTTTATATGTATAAATATAAATACATATAAAAACATCAAGAGATGGCTTTTGCACTGTCAGTTTGTTACCATCACTTGACTTGCATGAAAATGTACCTTCAGTGTGTTGGTAAACCTCAGCAGCAATGGGCTTCAGCTTGTAGGGGGCAAGGCCTGCCTCAAAAATGTGACCACCATCCAAGCTAACGGCATCTGCTTCGGTATTCTAAACAAAAAAGATTTCAGTCAATTAAAAAAAAAATCAGTCAATAAACAAAGAGCAGGGACACATGATGGAAAATGCTTCCCTGGAGTCTCTCTTGGTCCCTTGTGGGTGAGTCCTTCTCTACAGGGGGGTCACAGGTAACAACCAGTGACTCAAAGGAAACCCCAACCTTCTCCAGGTATCACAGGCTGCTGGAACATCCTCAGTGCCCAGCACAGATATTTGCTGCCCACTCACCGTAATGGCTTTTATGCAGTCGAGATATGTTGCTTTCTGCAGGCAACTCAACGCAACATTCTCTTGTTGCATGTGGTCCCTTAGGCTATTGCATTTGTTCTCTTCTGGTGAGGATATTGTGCACCATTTGATGGTTGTCTTCAGGGGAGAAGCAAAACACAGAGCTGTAGAAAGAACCAGAAATAAATAGTCTCAGAGAAGTAGAAATGCACCAAGTGGAGAGAAACAGCATCTCTGTGAGTACGTGATCTCTGGTTCCCTGCACTCATGGCCTTGGGTGATGGCCAGGTACAGGATCTCCCTTGCACATCTCCTAAGTCATGCAGGAAGGCTGTTTCATTCTTGCCTGATGTGTCCACCTTCAGAAATATCTAGGAGGATGATTCCTGTCCCTGGGTAATGGATGTCCTGCCTAGCATCGTGATTCAAGCAGCCTGAGCTCACAGCAACATCCACAGGAGTAGGAGAACGAATCCACAGACTTAATGAGCAATCAAACTCAAGGCTTTGCAAAAACAGAGAGACAAGGAGGTCTTTGAAGCAGCACCTTTGCAGATTACCCCAGAGAGACAGCAGCTCTGACCTGGCTAGGCTATATTCAGTACGTTGCCACGCATGACCTGCTTGGCAGCTAGATAATCTGATATATTTAACCATCTCTTTATATCTCATCTTCTCCACTATACCCAGTAATAGAAATGCCATACAATCTCCACAGCTCTTAAGAGCCCCCCAACCAGTAAATGCAGCTGAGTGGCTGCTCTGGGAGACTGGAGCAAAGCAAAGACCTCAGGTGGACACAGACTCATGCCTCTTTCAGCAATCTGAACACCAGAAACATTGAAAACTTGCAGTTAAAGTACATGGCCAGCCCGTGCCACGCACTTCACCTTAACCCTGCCCCTTCTTGGCAGGACTGCTCAGATCAAGAGGCCAGATGCACAGATCGCTCCCTCCAGACCCTTGAGGACACATTTCATTCAAACATCTCCAGCTTAACCTGTGCTGTTTCCAGTTCCTCTTTCACCTCTGAAATATCCTCTCTTACTTGATTTTTTTGAGCCATAACCCTGCCAGCAGACACCTCTCCTCCTCCCAGCAGAGGTGCTGAATTTGGCCACAGGAAGAATCCTTGGTCTCAATTCCTACTGCCATCATCTATGTTTTTCAGGTCTTGGCTGCACAAAGCCATGGTCACCTTAATCTAGTGCTGGCAACCATCCTGCCTTGGGCAGAGGCTGGACTGGGACCTTCTGAGGGAGTCAGCCTGGCTGCACTGGTGAACACTGGGGAGGCAACAGGAGCCCAAGTGCCATGGCCTCTGCCACAGAGCTTTTGGCAAACCTCTGGGCTCCATCCATGCAGAGGAGGAGGAAGGACTCTTCAGCATTCATAAGACATCATTGCATGCTCATACTCAGCAAAGGTGTTCGAGGACTTCCCGATATCAGTGGCATAGGGAGCATGTCCCACTAGAGGATATTTGTCACCACTGCACTTTAGGAGGCATCAGAAGAGACTCCGCTGCCTACTCTGAGAAGGGGACCCCTCTTTCCAACAGTCCCCAGGTTGGGGGTAGACGGCAGCAATCTCCTTGCTGTGGCCACCTGCCCGTTGCCTGCCAAAACTCTGAGTAGAGAGAGAGAGGAGAGAATAATGGCTTCAAGCAGAGCCAGCCCTGCAGTGGCACAATTTAGACATAAAACACACAGAAGCCTGAGCAAAGTGCAGCAGTGGTGGCCCAACAGAGCAGCGCAAGAGACAAGGAGGAGGACACAGAGTTTTTCATTAATTAAGCCCTTTTTATTGTCACTGCCTCCAGGTTTAACACAGCACAAATGCAGGCTTGGCAGGCAGGGCTCGCTCTGGTTTCTCCCCTCCTGCTTGAACCCCTGCTCCTCTCTCAGCACCGCAGTTGGCCAGAGGGCAATTTTCCCTTCTCGCTGTGGCAGCGGGAGCATGGAGCCTAACCCAAACAGTCCCCTCCTGGCAGTGGGTGCCAAGCATTCCCCCCTCCTTGCCAGCTTGGTGCTCAGCAGCTTGCTGTGGGCAGCTGCAGACCTCCACGGGCTGGCCCAAGAAAAAGCTGCAGCTGTTAATGCTGCAAACACCATCCTTGTTGACATAGATCCTCAGCTGCCAAAGCGAGCAGCTGGCAGGCACTCCTCTGCTTTTACATCCTGGCTTTTACTGAACGGCTGCCTGGATCTGGCACATGCTGCGGTTCTAAACCAGCCTTGTCTAGAGGGAAAGCCCGGCGTCCTGAGAGGTTTTGACTCTTCCTTTCCCAAAAAAATCCTGCTTTCAGCAGACACTTACCCACTATCCCAAAGGACAGCACAGTAGAGAGTACGAGTTTCATGCTTGAGCAGGGAGTCAGGTGCTGAGGAGGGGGTGCAGCAGCCTTGGTCACAGACTGTCCCCTCCACGTCTGTTATGGCTCTGGAACCGCTTTCTCCCCTTTTTATAGAGAAACAGCCCTGGCTGTGTTTGCAGAAGCAATGACCTAACACTGTTTGTCCTTCCTTGTTTCTCAATACCTCCTAAATCGCGCCCCCTCCCTGGATCAGCCCATTTTTAGGAAGCCTTTCACTTTGGCACTGAACCCCTCCACAGGCAGGAGTCAGAGCAGGGCAAGGTGCTTTTCATCTTACAAGGGGCTTTGGATGGAAAATTCCCAAGTCGTGACATTTGAATTCCCCTGCAGGCTGAAACGCCACAAGAGAGGCTATTTTCTTTGTGCTGGCCACCCCCTGCCTTGCCCAGCTTAATCTCAGAAAGTCCCTGCTGGATCCAGCCCCGAGTTTCACATATTTGCCAGTAACTGCTGCTGTCCTGCCCATTGCCCTTTGGCTTGCAGCATCTGGAGTGCCTGCCCCTTCCCTCATGTTCTCTTGGCCATGGCAATGGGGTTGAAAGGCAGTGAATGTTCCTTACACGTGATCTGGAAAGCTCCTTGCACAACTGAGGGAAGTCAATGACAGCCACCAGACAGCTTGGTCGTGCCCTGCAGACAGAAGGAAGCATCATCTTTGTGAAGTTCTTGGGATGAACCTGGGAAGAAATGCTGAGATTAGCTATCACCCTCCTCCCCATTCCCCTGCAAAACCTCTCCATCCAATTGTATCACTCCTGATTCATCTGCCTGCAGCCAGGACCGGTGGGGCATGGCTAGGTTTGTGAAAGTCTGCCTTTGTGATGCTGTCCCAGGCTCAATGTCCCAGACTTTGCTGCAGGCTACAAGACCAACTTCAGGTTGACTTTAGCATGTGCGCACTAAATGAGAGTCCCTGGGCCACACCAGCTAGCCCACGGGCCTTGGCAGCATCCCTAGACCCCTGCTGGGGCTGGTCCACCCGACACAAACTCCAAGAGTGCTGTAGGAAGCCCGGTGGTGAGGTCCAGCTCCCAGGCTTGCTCTCAGGAGCACCAGCCTCTCTTTGTGATCTCCTGGACCCCTGCACAGGTTCTTCCTCTCTCATAGCCTGCACCCTCCATGCAGCAGTGCCCACGGTGGGCTCCTGATTGAGGTTGACTGGTAGCACCCTGGGTTGGCTCCTCTCCCTGCTCTCAACAGGCTCAGGGCACAGCAACCTGCAGTGGGTGGTGGTGGTAGCCAGAGTGGCTTCAGTGCAGGTGGCACCCCAGTGTCAGGTCAAGGATATGGCTCTACAAAGTGACCCAGGGAAGGGGGCTGCTGGAGACCTTCAGGCAATGACCAACTCCACTATGGCACCATGAGCCTGCCCTACCTGTGGCTCTAGCTGCTGGAGGTCCCTGCAGGCTGAGCGAGAGGCACCCATGACCACACTGGTTAATTCAGCATCATCTTTAGCAATTCCTTCAGCATGGCTAGTTCCTTTTTCTCATCTCTTCAGCCCCTGCTTTCCCAGAAAAACAGTACTTCTTGTGACCAGAGCATCTCCAAACACACTGCAACTGGAGGGGGTGGGGTAGGGGAATGACTTGTTCCCACTGCAAGCCTTCCTTCCCTTTTAAAAGATCTCCCATCTGTATTTATACTTGGAAAACAAAGGGTCTGTTCAAACAACAGAAGAGTAGTTGCTGGAAGAGCTCCCATACCATCTTGCCTTCTACTCATCATTCCCAGCCTTTTTTATATGGACGATCCACTGCTCCTCTCTCTCCTCTCACATTGCACCTCCATCCCCAATGCGCTCTCTGCATCTGCCGAGGGAATGGCTGTGGTGTGATGAGGGGTTTCACTCCACACCCCTTTCCCTTGCCTTCCGAGCT